GGTAAAAAACAAGACTGCCCTTTGGGAAGTAGAACTGGGAGGGCAGAAGGGGGGAAAATGACTATTAGTTGCTAATTGGAAGCTGTCCTTACCTCTTGATGCTTTTTTTTTTTATTTAGGTAAAATTCACATAACATAAAATTAACCATCCACCCTTGTAAGCGACCAATTCAGTGGCATTTAGTGCATTCACAGTATTGTGCAACCACTACCTCTGTGTAGTTCTGCAGCCATTTCCAACCCTCACCCCACCCAAAGGAAACCACATGCCCATTATGCAGTCACTCCCCATTCCTCCTTCTTCTCCCCACCCACCAGCTCCTGGCAACCACCAGTCTGCTTTTCTAGCTCTGTGGACTCACTTCTTCTGGAAGTTTTGTATAAGTGAGATCGCAAACTGTGTGACCTTTTAACTTAACAGCTTCTTTAACTCAACATAATGTGTTCAAGGTACATCCACATTGTTGGACAGACAAGAACTTCATTCCTTTTTATGGCTGAATAATATTCCATAGCATGTAATACCCCCTTTGACTAGCCATTCATTAACTGTAGGCCCTTTGGGTTATTTCTACTTTGGCGCTCTTGTGAATAGTGATACATTGAATATTCATGTTCGAGTATTTGTTCAAATACCGTTTTTAGTTCCTTTGGGTAAATGCCTACGAGTGGACTTGCTGGGTCATATAATAATTCTTCGTTGAACTTTTGAAGAATAACCAAACTGTTTTCACCTGTGGTTGCACTATTTTACACTCCCACCAATGATGTAGAAGGGTTCATGGTTTCTCCACAACCTTGTCAGCACCTATTACTTCCTGTGTATTTTTTATTATAGCCATCCCAGTTGGTGTGATGGTATCTTCTGTGGCTTTGATTTGCATTTCCCTAATGACTAAATGATGTGGAATATTTTTTCATGTACTTAATATTCATTTCTATGCCTTATTTATTTTTGTTAATATTTTAAACTAATGAGCTACCATTGATTTATATCTTTGTTAATATTTTGACGATATAGGATTTCTCCCCTGAGGTGTGGTCACTGTAGCACTCCCAACACCAGAATACCCATGGTCCTTGGCTACAGTCCATTGTGTTCCCCCTCCCCATGTTTTCTTTTTCTTTTTTTTAAGATTTATTTTTATTTACTTACACATACAAAAACTAGGGTGCAGGCCAGAAGTGCAGGGGGGTAGGTGAGAGTATTCACCAGAGACAGAGTGGGGAACAGAACAGGCAGGCAGGAGCAGTGGGCGAGACAGGAGAGGTCTGCTGCGCCATGTGGGTCAGCTCCCTGGCCAGGGATCGAACTCAGGTGGCAGCGGTGATAGCACTGAGACCTAACCCCTAGGCCACCAGGGAGGCCTCGATAAGTGGTTGTTCATGTTCTTTACTTACTTTTACATTGAGTTGGTTTTCTTTTTGTTGCTGAATTGTAAGAATCCTTTATATATTCTGAGTACTAGACACCAATCAAGTAGATGATGTACAATTTTTTTTTCATTCTGTTAGTATCTTTTCATTTTCTTGATAGTGTTACCACTGATTTTTAAACTATTTTCATGTATGATTTTGATAATTTTTATTAAAATTAGTAAAAGAATGAATATTGTAGATATTATTTAAAAAGTTTTTTTTAAGCAGTAGAGTATTATCTTAGTATATAAAAGAAACTCGCAAAGGAAGAAAAATTCATAGCACAAGAAAATGAGTAAGTGAAAAAATACAAGTTAACCTAATAAGATATTTATAGTGAAAAACTTTCTTTTTAGTGAAAAACTTGAACAATGAGAGGAAGTACAAAATAGGCACTCTTCTGATAAAAAAAAATGTACCAGCTGATGTGATTTTTCATAAGTAGTTTGGCACAATGTGTCAAGAATCTTAAAAACACAGTGACCCAGTGAGGCAACTTCTAAGAATTTTTTCCTAAGAAAATAATTTGAAATACACAAAACCCTCTATATCTTTTTACCTAAAAATTGTCAACAACCCTAAGCATTCAACAAAAGGTAATTGAGTAATTTCTGATACACCTAGTGCTTGAAAAATAGCACAGAAAAGGTATAAAAGAGTTATTGAATAAATGAATGAATGGATCCATAGGATGGAGTATTAAGCAATCATTTAAAATTCCATTCATATTATTTTTTATAATGTAGAATTCTTTAGCCTCAGAGGAAATGAGGTAAGAAAGTTTGTCTGGAATATGGTCTAACAACCTTTTTTAAAAAATGATTTTCTTTATTGGTTAAAAATAAAGATAAAGGGCCTCCCCGGTGGCACAGCAGTTGAGCGCTGGGTTGTGAAGCTGCCCACAGCCTCTGCAGCCCCGGTTCGATCCCCGGCTGCCTGGCGAGGGTCCCACATGGCGCGCAGACCTCTCCTGCCGCCCACTGCACCCCTCAGCAGTGTACTTCAGTCCTTCTGCCTGCTCTGCTCCCCGCTCTGGCTCTGGTGAATTCTCTCACCCTCCCGCGCTTCTGACTGTACCCAGTACTTGTATAAATAAATAAATAAATCTTTTTTTTTTTTAAAAAAAGAATAATTAAAAAAAAATAATGAAAAGAAAACATAGGAAAAAGAAGGAAATAAATAAAAATGTTACATCTGGGTGGTAGAATATTAAATAATCAAAAATACATCATCTCCTCTGCACTATACAAGTATCTAGCATGTCTCAACTAAGATGGTTTTCTCAGGATTTCATCATCTAAGTGGGAAGCTTGATCAGAACAGAGAGGCCTCTGCCTACTGGGCCCTTGCTTTCCCATGGGATTTTTTAAGCAAAGGCTTCTGTCTCTATTAGGGCCGGGGCACCTGATTCTGCTGAGCATGCTGGGACGTGCAAAATGTACGAAATTTGCTCTCAAATACCCACAAGCACTCATTTTGCACCAGGGAGCAAGGACATACAGTTCAAGGAGCCCCTCACCTCAGGGAGTTCACACACATGATTATTAACCAGAGCTAACAATACCGTGGTTGCTGCTCTCCCTGGTCCCATCCAAGAGGCACAATACTTTTGTTTGCCTGGTTCTTTTTCTCTAACAAAAGCAAATAAAATGACCTGGCTCCAGACCATCTCAGTGCATGCATGGCAAAGGATGATGCTGTTTTCAAGTTTCCTCATGGCTCTTTCTGCACCTGTCACAACCCACTCAGTTGGCATCTCTCTACTGACAAATCAGTCCTGGGATACCCTGGGTGCTTGTTTTGTCGACAAGCCTCACCCTGTTTGTTCTTGTGGTTTGTGGCGTGGGCTCCTCATGGAAACACAGATGCAGTCACTGGCTGTACTGCAAGGACACTGACTGCCCAAGTGCAGGGCATTGCCAAGAATTGGTTTATATTATGCATTCATGTATGTATATACACATAGAGGCATGTATACATGTATAAAGAAGTTCCCACAACGAGTGGATATTGCCTTTATGAAAAATAAAAGTTTTCTTTGTGTTTCTCTTTAGGCATTCACTGTTTGTTTGCTTTATTGTCTTGCTGTCTGGGTTGCCTGCAAGCTGTCCAGAAGGCTCTGCAGAGGGAGGACAGGGGTCCTGGGCAATGGCCACAGTGTGGAACTGAGCCATCCTCAGGAGAGGATGAAGGGGGGCCTTGAAGAAAACTCATAATCAGCTGGTCAGCTCAAAGCACTTGTCATTTGCTTGTCACTCAAGTAGGGGAAACCTGAGTGCCACAGGGGGCCACTGTTTGCTGCTGGATTCCAGGGCAGGGGCTCCCACAACTTGAAAGTTGCTATTAGGAGCCGGAGCTGGGTGGCCTGTGATGAACCACCTCTGTGGCATGGTGCAGCTGTCCCCAGGAGAGGACCAAAGGCTGCCGAGGGAGGGAGGCAGCTGCTGGCAGTGGGCACAGGGCCAGGCCTGGGAGAACTGAGTGGGGAATTTGCGTGGAGCGCCTGGCAGGTGGGGCTTTGTGTCCCGGGTCCCCTCATCCGGAGGGGCCGCCGGGCAGATCTTTCCTAAACCCAGTTCCTTCTCATCCGGGCCACAGCTGGCTGCCTTCCAGGCACTCACTTCTTAAACGTCTCTGCCAAGAATTCCTCTGCCCCACTCCTACAGGCACAGCACGGTGGGCTCCCCCTTGGAGTTGGACTCCACATTCCCAGGGTCTGACAACCTTGGCCGCTCATTATGTTTATGTACTGGGGAGTCTCACTTTCATACCACAGAAAGTTCCTGCCCTGCCCAAGGAAGGAAACCTGGTGGGTTCACAGACACCATCTCCCTGGATGGGAGCACACACTCCAGGGTACCAGCAGTGTGGTACCCTGCTAGCCCATGCTGGGCCAGGATGCGGGCAAGGCCCCAGCTTTGCCCTAGTGTAGCAGAGAGACTTGATCACTGTTACAGTGAGTGAGTACACTGCTGAGGGATGCTGGGAAGGAAGTGAAGGGTTCTTCCTAAATGGGGAGGACAAGCTTCCGGAGGAGGTCGTGCTTGGGCCAGGCCTTGAAGGAGTCTTACAGACAAAAGCACGAGAGAAAAACTTCCGTGATGAAACTATGGTGTTAAGGAAGTCCAGAGAAACTTGGAAGAGAGCTGGGTTCTGGGAAGGAGGAATTTGGGGATATAGGTCGGGAAGGGAGTGAGCACTGGGAAGCTGGGAAGCAAGGTTTGGTCCAGATTGTGTCTGTCGTCTGAGGTTTTAAAGGCATCCTGTGCAGGGAACAGATGAGCGGCACAGCAAGTTGGCTTCTTTGTCTGTGAAGTTTCAGCTGGACTCCTGGCGGTGGGGGGAGGTCACTGGGCCAGTGGTGTCTTTTGGTTACAGCCTCATGGTGGACCAGACAACCTGATGGTCCTATAGCCACCAACACTTGCAGTGCTAGATAAAGAGAACAAATGTCCTTTCAGATGCACAGAAACGCTCATCTGATAGTAAGAGAAATTCCCCTGTTCCCTTCCTGATCCCCCTCCAGGGTTGCCTGGGGTCCCTCCCAAATAAACTATTTGCTCTTGAATCCTTGCCTCAGAGTCTGCTTCTGTGGGGATGCAAGCCAAGATGGACTCTTCAATAAACAATGCTGAAGCAACTGGTTTTCCATAGGGAAAAATAAAATAAAATTAGAATCTTACTTTATACCTTAAAAAAATTTCAAGCTTATTAAAAATCTAAGTGTGAAAGCCAAAGCTATAAAAGTTTTAGAGGAAAATATGAGAGAATATCTGAAGGATCTTAGAGTAGGGGGGATATTCTTAAATGACACCAAAAGCACAAAAATTAAGGAAAAGAGCAACAAAATCATCAACTTTGTCAACAAAAGATGCTATTATAAATAATTGAAGCAGGTTTTTGTGATACAGGAAACGGACAGATAGTCATCGGAATCTACAAAGAACCGGTACAAATTTATAAAAAAGGAGACAGGCCTCCTGGTGGGAAAGTGGGCCCAGACGTGAGGCCTACATAAGGGAAATGCGAACAGCCGACTCTCATTTACACCCATTAGAGTGGCAAAAACGTTCAAGGCTGAAAAAATTAATGTTGGCCCATGGAGGAGGCCCTGGGGCGCTGGTTTCCTGGTCTGGGGTATACATTGTCACCATTCTGGGGATGAGCTTGGAAATAGCTTGAAGTGTGCATACCTGAGTCCAACAATGTCACCTGTGTCGAAGGACATGTAAAGGTTCCCTGAAGCCCGAATAATCCATCTGTGTTTTGAGAAGTTGAGAATGGCCTGTGTCTGTCAAATAAGTTGGTAGAGTGGCGTTTAATCAGTGGTTATGTCCTACCAACCTGGGCAGCTCTGAAAAACTTAAACTAGTGGACAAAGAGAAAGCATATGGGAGTTAAACTTCTGGCTCGAATGAAAGGAAAAAAAAACAAGTGTTAGAAATGGAATTACCATTTATATACAGCTTGAAAAAGCCCACTGCATATTGCTTGTGCACATATGTGGAAATGTTACGAGAACTTGCAGGAGGACCACAAATACTAACTTCAGGATAGTAGTTAGGCTTTGGGGGTGGAAGGGAACAGAGCCGGAGAAGGACGCCAGATGTGGCAGAAAGGTGAGCTTGATAACGCTGAGTAATGAGGTCAGGGATGATATTGGATTATTCTTTGCCTTTCTGTGTGATTGAAATTAAAGGGAAAAGAGAAAGGAAAATAGACTTGAATCAAAAAGGAGAAGCAACAGTGGGAATGAGGTCTTGAAGGATGACCTGCAGGCAGGACCAAGACCAGATCTCTGAGGAACACCCACCTTTGAGGGGGTCTATAGATAAAGAGGTGTCAGTGAGGAGACAGGAGGGGCAGGACAGAGGAAGGAGAGAACTTCGGGTGGAGTGAGAATCCTGAGAGGAGGCCTTTGATGTTGGCAGTGAGTTTTGGCAACCAAACAGGCAGCTTGGGTGGGTGGAGAGAGCCACAAGCAGGTGCAGAGTGTTCAGAGCAGATGGTAGTGGGCCTGAGCAGAAGCTTCTTGGGAAACCATACTTAAAGGAAGGGAAGGAAAGCAGCAGTCAGGTGGAGCGCAACTGAGGGCAAAGCTGGAGTCCATAACCCTAGTCGTGCAGACCCAAAGACACTGAGCGGGCCAGCTCAGGCCACTTCTCAAAACCAAGTCAAGCCTCCAACTACATCCCTGCCCAGAGACCAGTGCTGGCTGGAGGACTAGGACTCCTGTGGTCACTCTGTCCTGGACACACTGCTGGGGAGGTCACCTCTCCTACTTCCTTAGGTAGGGGGAGTAGAGCCCCACCCCTGGGGCTGCAGCCCTGTTGGAAGGGCTCAGACAGTGTTGGGACGCCAGCTTGGCATCTGCTGTCCAACTCCAGCCTGGTGGCCCCTGGAAGCGTGTCGCACCTGGTCTTGCACCTTTGACTGCCCGGCACTGAGAAGCAGTGAAGGTCCTTGAAACCACGCAGCAGCAGCGTAACCTCCTAGAAGGAGCAGCATCACAGCTGTGGACACCCAGGGAGTCCCCTGACCTTTCTCAGCCTCAGTTTCCTCAAGTGGAATGTGGGGATAGTACCTGTTTGCAAAGTTGTTATGAGGGCTAAACAATAACACGTATTGGCAACCTTGCAGCATGCCCGCCATGGTGCCAGCAGTGAAGCATTTAACCCCGACCCACCAGGCAGGCAGAGGCCATCTCCCGAGATGAGCAAACAGGCTCAGAGAATCATATTTGTTCAAGTTCCTGTAGCTGGCTGGCTTCAGAGCTGGGACTTGGCGCAAGTTACACGCCTCCTGTGTGGAGCGGTGCACTGCAGTGTTCCCCAAACTGCCAGGTGCTGTATAAATGTGTTTGCCTCTGCCCCTCCCTTCCTGATGAACTTCACAGACTAGGATAGACCCATTGACACATGGGGAGGAGCTGCTGTCTTTTCCACAACACCAGGTGGTAAAGAGGGGGAGTATGTTAAAGACATGAAGAAGCCCGTGACCCCCACACTTCAGAAGCCTCACCTCAAGACACCCCTCTCCTCAATGCCCCAGTGGTAGAGGCCCAGTGGTCTTACTTCCTCTACTAGACTGGTTTCCTTCCCGCCCCTCACCTTCCCCCAGGTGCATCCACACATGCCCACGCGCACCCCCCTGTTGCCTGCATCTGCCCCACAAGCTGGAGTGAAATCCCTTGCTCCCCAGCAGCTTCTGGGAAGTGGGTGTACCGGCTTCCAAAACCGCCTTCCTCACCTTTGCACTCAGCTCAGTCACTGCCCGGCAACAGCCTTTGGGGTTGAAAGGAATCTTTACAGTTCATTTGGTCAGATAAGCCCAGTTCTGTATGCTTTGACCCTCTGCTGTGCCCCCTTCTGTGGCCTCAGCACCCCCCAGGCCACCGCCCAATCTCAACTGAATAATGAACACTGATGTTTGCTTCTCAGAGCTAATTTAAACCCTCCAGTTTGCTCCCAGAATCCTTGCATAGAATGTCCCATCCCCTTGTCCTATGCCCTTGCTGGACCTGCTGAGTGGGGATGGATTAGCAGCAAAATCCCTGGAGGGCAGCAATCTGGAGGCGGTGGGGCCATGATCAGAATTGTTGGTGGCAGCTTTGTGTGTGTGTGTGTTTATCTGTCTCTGTGTCAGTGCCTCCTTAAGCATTCCTGGGCCAAAGGCCTGCGTAAACAACCACCACTCTTGACTCTTGCAAAATAGGAATACTAACTCCCTCTGGGCTATAGTTGCACTGTCTGTCCGTCTTATTCTTTGTGAAATGAGGACTTTGGCCTAGATAAGTAGATTTAAAATGTGTTAAATTTACTTAATAGGCATTTATTGATTACTGGCCATGAGCAGCTTTGTGCCAACCCTGCTAGGTGGGCAGCACAGGACCAGATGCCCCCTTCATGAGCCTGATGGGTGGACAGATGTTCAATATGTGACAATAGGCCCTATGAGGCCCTGAAGAAGAGCAGGTGCTGTGGGTGAATAACAGGAGAACCGCCCTGGCTTAGGGATATCAAATCAGGCCAGGATCTGAAGGAAAACAGGAATTAGCTAGAAGGAGAGGGACAGAAGAACATTCCAGGAAGAGGTGCCAAGACCAGAAGATGCTTCTCATTCCAGGACTGGAATGGGTGCCTGCAGGGCACACAGAGGGGAAAAGGGACTTAAGGTGAGAAGAGATGGGGCAGATTCACAAGACTTTGAGGCCCTGTTGAGAGTTATGTTCTATCCTTGGGACAATGAAACCCTTCAAAGGGTTTGAAACAGAGGAATGTCATGCTTGTGGCTGCACCTTTAAAAAAGCCTTCTGGCATATAGTCAAACCCCATAAATATTTGAATGAGGTAGTAGGGTCAGATGAAAGGGTGGTCTTACTGTGACAATGGGATGGGGGACCAGGGCTCGATTAGGAGGATGAGGGTGGTGACCTATGGAGATGGGAAGAAGTGGATGGAAACTTTTAAAAGACAGTTGCCAAGACGTGGTCATTGCCTAGAGGGAGAGGGAGCACAGTCAAAGGTTATCCTCAGGATTCTGGCTTTGACCACGCCGCAACTGAAAGCATGATGGTGTCATCATCTTTGCAGGGAGAGCCAAGGGTGGATTTGGGACATGTTAAGTGTGAGATCACTCTGGGCATCGCTAAGCATGCCTGCAGGTCAAAGGGGCTATATTGGCGAACGGTAATTGGAATGGCGAGTGGTAATTGGAGGCGCGGGGTGGAGATCACCGAAGGAGAGCATAAGAGGGCCGGCAAGGTCTGGGTCTACATGGGGACCCTGACAAAACTCAGGTTGGAAGCCAGCCAAGGAAACAAAAAACGAGAGAAAGGAGGGGAAGCAGACAAGCCTGCTCCGCGGAGGAACTTCCTCAAGGGAAGAGAGCTTGATAGCAGTCAGAGGGGTGAGCTGTGCGAAACACAGCTCTAGTTTGATGGGAATAACAAAAAAGTCCTCTTTGAAATTTGCAGATAGAGGTTATTGTTAACCTAGCAAGAGCTAGGGGACTTTGTGAAATGAAGACCTTGAGTCAATACAAGTCTCTCAAGAAGTTTGACTAGGGAAAGGTGAAGGGGGCCATATATATGGAGGTCGAGGAGAGATTTTTTTTTAAGTTGGGGAACTTTGTTCAGAAACATGAAGATAAAGTAATGGGGAACGGTGGAAATTACAGGACAGAGGCGGGTGTATGTTAGCTTCAACCAGAGAAGCAGGATCACTTGGTAATCTATGTAATTAAAAAATCTATAAAAATGTGACCTTGAGTAGCTGTTGCCCATTACACTATCAGTGTTTCTGGTGCTGGACTTTTACAAATGAGGGGAAACCAAAAAAATTAATTGGAACCTTGGGCACGGAGCAGACTTCACAAGGATGGACTGGAACCCTTGTCAATGTCTCACTGCCTGCCTTTCTCCAACTCTGTAACAAGGGTGTCAAGCAGAGTAGTGATGTTGTTTGTCACAGAGCTAAACATTCACCAGGCTCAGAAGCTGGGGAAGTTAGAACTGTAGTTTCCTTGGGCCTGGCTGCAGCTCCATGCCAACCAAATGACCCAGCAGACACGGGACAATGTGCACAAGCTGTAAATGCACCTGGTGCCCTGCGTTGACATTCTGAGCATAAAGGAACATAACCGCTTCTTCATGGCTACCTTCCAATTCTTGGACAAAATGTCTCTTGCTAATTTGAAACTATAGCAGGAAGGGAATTCTTGGAAGTATGGTCCAATTTAGCTAAGCAGACAATACAAATCCATCATAGGAGGTGACTTCATTTTTAAGCAAATATTTATTAGCGGATCTAAGCACTATTTTAGGAACTGGAGATATAATTTAAGTCTGAGTCTGTAGAATTCAGATTCTAACAGGAGAATCAGATAGTAAGTGTTTATATGACATGATGCCAGATTGTGATGGGGGTGGGGGGAGCAAGAGCATAGAGAATAATGGAGCTAGGGGTTGGGCAAGGAGGTTCTGTTATAGAGGACAGTTGGAAAACCTCTTTGATGGTCTGTCATGAAATGATGGAACCAGCCAAGTAGGGATCACTAGAATGATCTTTTCAGGCTAAGGACATAATATATGCAAAGGCCCTGAGGCAGGAACAAGCTTGTTCAGGAAACTACGAGAAAGCAGAGATAGCTGGAACAGAGCAAGTGAGGCAGGGTGGGGTAGGAGATGAGGTTGGAGAGCTAGGCAGCTACCAGACTAGGAAGAATAGTCATTATTTGTCTTATCTAATGGTTCTCTGGAACACCTCACTTGGAAAGCTTGTCCTTTTTTCACCTCACTTAAAATTGTCCTGGTGCTAAAAGTCTTTCACCAGGGACTTTCATCCAGTATTTTAACATCACAGCTGCTTGAAGCAATGGATACCTGTTGGTTAAACAATAGAATATAAAGCTTAACAGGAAATGCTGAGAAATGAGATGTCCGTAGGAGGTTTTTAAAAGTTCTGACATGATCTGGAGTCCAGAAGGCCATGCATGTGTGTTGGCTGTGTGTATGTTTAGAAAAGACTTGAAAAGGCAATGATCTCTTATCTCTTTTTGACCTCAAAGCTCTGTGCAAGCAGGACATGATAGCTGAGGCAAAGTTGCAAACCACCTAGCTGAGTGTTGAAGGCACGACCCCCATACACATTCAGAGCCCTCTGAAAAAAATGGGGAACTTACTGGTTTCAGGAGGTTAAGAAAATCTCTGTCTAATCATTAGCTGGCCACTGAGTTAACTGAGCAAAGATTTCACTGACCACTCATGATACAGAATATAGACTTTGCAGAATTAGTTTAGAAAGTCACTGAACAACTACAATAAGCAACAGCAACAAATCCCATAGTGAGGGTAAAATCTCATTTCCAGAATTGCCACATTAGGTTACTTGAAATTTTCAGTAAAAATGATGAAACATGCAAAGAAACAATAAGAAAATATGACCCATCCTCAGGGGAAATAAGCAATTAGTAGAAACTGTACCCAAGGAAGCCCAGAATTTGCAATTACTTGATAAATACTTTAAATTAGCTGTTTTACTATGTTCAGAGAACTAAAACAAACCACACTGAAAGAAAGAAAGGAAAATATGAAAGTAGAATCTCAAGTAGAGACAATTGATAGAAATTATATTTTTAAAAGCCAAAAAGAAAATTATAGAATTGACAATTGTAGAACTGTATATTTCAAACAAAAATCTACTGGAAGAGCTCAACAGCAGATTTGAGCAGGTAGAAGAAAGAAAGAACTTTGATTATCCCATCTGAGGAACAGAAAAACAAGAAAATGAAGAGAAAGGTATCTTTGGTATAGAGAACTGTGGGATACCATCAAGTCAACTAGCCTATGCATAATAAAAGTCCCTGAAAGCAGAGAGAAGGGGCAGAAAAATATTTGAAGAGATAATGGCCCCAAAACATGCCAATTTTGATGAAAAAAACATACATTCAAGAAACTCAAATCCAAGTTGGATAAATCAAAGAAATCTCTGCCTAGGCACATCATAATCAGACTATCAAAACCACAGACAGAAAGCAGCAAAAGTGACTCACCATGTACAGGGGATCCGCAATATTTATAGCTGATTTCTCATCGATAAAACAAACAAATATGGAGGCCAGAGGCAATGGGATGACATATTCAAAGTTAGGAAAGAAGAAAAAGAACTGATAACCAAGAATTCTGTATTTGGTAAAACTGTCCTTTTGAAATGAAGGATAAATTAAGACATTCCTCATCCTGGTAATCCACAAAAACCTATGGCTAACATACTAAATAGTGAACAACTGCAAGTTTCCCCTTGAGGTCAGAAACTAGACAAAAATGTCAGCTCTCATCACTTCTATACAGGATTGTACTGGAGGTTCTAATGAGGTCACTTAGGCAAGACAAAGAAATAAAAACTATCCAGTTTGCAAAGAACTGAAACCATCTCTTTTGGTTCATTATATCTTATTTATATAGAAAAGCTTAGCATCCAACAACAGCCCCCACTCCCCAAAACACCCACCATTATTAGAGTTAATAATTAAGTCAAGCAAGATTGCAGGCTACAAGCTCAGTTTTTTAAGTCAGTTGTATTTCTAAACTCTAACTGGAAAAAACCCAAAATAGAAATGAAGAAAATTATTCCATTTATAATAACATAAAGAGAATAAAATACTTAGGAATAAATTTAGCCAAAGATTAAATAAGCTGAAAGCGATAAAACGTTGTTGAAGAAATGAAAGACCATCTAAATAAAGGAAAGACATCTCATGCTTGTGGATCAGAAGACTTAATATTGATAACATGGCTGCACTTCCCTAAGTGATCTACAGATTCAGTGTCATCCTTATGAAAATTCCAACTTCTGTTTTGCAGAAATAGACAAAGTGATACTAAAACTAATACAGCCGTTCAAAGAACCCCAAATACGCAAAACAATCTTGAAAAGAACCAAGTGGATAGTCACACATGTCCCAATTTCAAAACCTATTACAAAGCTACAATAATCAAGACATTGTGATTCTGGCATACAGGTGGAGTAGAAATGAGTGTTCAGAAATAATCTATGGTTTACATCTATGGATTAGTTGATTTTCAACCGCCTGCGCCACCAGGGAGGCCCCAATGTGGTTTAATTGACTTACAGAATTTTTTTTTCATCCTCGATGTTTCACTTGGTCTCACTTTGTATGTGGAAATTGAAGCTTAGGGAGTTAAAACTCTTCTAAGTAGCCTAAATCCAGATCTTCTAACTCTCACGTTCTTTCCATTATTATCCCATGAATCAAGCCGAGTGCTTTTTTGTTTATTCAAATTCCCAGAGTATATTGCCAAGGTATCTTTTTCCAGAAAGTCTATTTTTATAGAATGTCTTTGGTGCGTGCCCATTCCAGTGATTATTTTAAATCACTTTTTTTCTGTCAATAATAATAATGTTAATTATAGAAAAGCTAGAGGGCCTCCCTGGTGATGTGGGGTTAAAGTCTCAGCGCGATCAAGCTATCGCCAACCACTGTGGCCTGAGTTCCATCCCCGGTCAGGGAGTTGACCCACCTAGCACAGCAGACCTCTCCTGACTCGCCCTGCTGCTCCCCTCAGCAGTGTATTTCAGTCAATCTGCCTGTTCTGCTCCTCACTCTGTCTCTGATGGATCTTCTCACCCCCTTCCCCGCACCTCTGGCCTACACCCCAGTTCTTGTATGCATAAATAAATAAAATATAAATCTTTAAAAAAATTACAGAAAAGTGAGAAAAATGTTTTAAATTTGCACTTAGATAATCACTTTTAATATTTCAGTGTTTTTCTTCTGGCGTCTGTCTATAAATATAGTGCCCAAATACACACACACACACATACACACACATATCTACACACATATATTTTTATAAATTGTGCTCATGCTATAAACAGTTTGTGTTCTACTTTTTCACTTAGTCTGATATTATGGGACGTGACATAGCATAATGATGAAGGTTAATTAGGCCCTGGGGCCAAAAAGCAACGCCCTGTTAGCCATATACCCTGTGCATACTGCTTAACCTTTTTGTACCTTAATACAAAATAGGTTTTTTACAAATCTAGCACAAAATACGGTCTTAACTATGTCCTCTTCTCTGATCCCAGGTGCTCTCTACTCTGGAGGTCAGGAAGCGCTGTCCCCTGTGCCTGAAACATGGCTGCTTTGTGGCCAACGACTTGCCCAACTGTTTCACTTAACAATATGCCTTGCAACTGGCCCTCACATTGACTCGCTGAACGATTTACTGCTGAGTCTCCCCCTGTACACACACGGTTTAAAACCCACATATAACTTTTGACTGCCCCCCAAAACTTAACTACTGATAGCTGGCTGTTGAGCCTTACCAATAACATAACCAGCTGATGAAAGTGCAGCTTGTGGGCCTTCCTAGTGGCGCAGCGGTTGAGCGCTAGGCTGCGAAGCTGCCCGCAGCCTCTGCAGCGCCAGTTTGATCCCTGGCCGCCGGTGAGTGCCACATGGCACGCAGACCTCTCCTGCCGCCCCCTGTTCCCCTCAGCAGTGTGTTTCGTCAGTCTGTCTGTTCTGTTCCCCTCTCTGGCTCTGGTGAATTCTCTTACCCTTCCGCGCTTCTGACTGTACCCAGTGCTTATATAAATAAATAAATAAATCTTTAAAAAAAAAAGAAAATCACATGGAGGAGAAGCCACATTTATAGGATTGTGCTGTATTTATTGATACTAACTCCTCTGCGTCTAGTGGACCTGAGTGGCTCAACCTGCGCTGTTCGAGGGTTAGCTGTGTTTGGATGTTGTCAGTATCAGTGCATGTGACCCTGCCTTGTTTTCTTTTGTGATGTTCTGTTTTGTTTTAAACTGCCTCAGAGAGAAAAGGCTTTATAAAATATGCCATGCAATCTAAACACTATAAAGGCACGTTGATCGATTTGGAAAATTTCAAAGCTTTTGTACACGAAAAGACACTATCAACAAAGACAGAAGACCAGCAAGGCCCCCACGTTCAGCTGGGCCTCCAGGTGGCTTGACTGGTGGTCTCTTTTGGGACTCACCCCTTTCTCAACAGTGACTATTTCCCCCTCTATTGGGCAGCCCCAGCACCCCACACTTACCTAAGTGATTTGTTAAACAGTCTAGTGGTCTCCAACCAGACAGCTGCTTGGGACCTGTCTGATTCTAGAATGTGGAACATGATCTTGGTCGCAGTGGCTAATTCTAGGGCAATGGGAAGCATTCCACTTCCTTCCTTCATTGCACTTGCCACAAAATTGAAACCAAATTAAAATGGTCTGTACTGTGTCTTGCCCCCACTGCTTTATGAACACCTTGAGAGCAGGGCCTATGTCTTGCTCTCGCAGCCTGGCGCATACCTGGGGCTGAACCGAAAAGGAACTTGGCAAGCCACAGACCGAGTTTAATGTTTTCTTGGTCACTGTACCAGAACAGATGATCATGAAGACAGTTTACAAAATGTGATTACGGTAAGTGTAAATCCCTATACTTATATCCAAAAATAACAGACAACAAATATCAGTTGGTAACCATGCTTTGCAGCAGTTTATTTAAAAAAAAAAACAAAAAAAGGTGGAAGTTTTCACCCACGAAAGCTTGGCATGGGTCACCAGCGTGGGCAGGCTGAGGACGCTGCTGGGATCTTGGCCTGTATGCTGGTGCCCCCCACCCCCAGCCCAAGCCATTATTCTGTCCCCTTCTCATCTGTCACTCCCATGTCTTCAGTAATTCCCCTTTCCATTCATGCTGCCAGCCTGCAGACATGCCCCTGAGTGCCCCCACCCCAGCCTTTAAAATCCTCTCTGCTACCCAGCCATTCTCCTGGTGCCTCCCGCTGGCCTTTCCTTTTAAACTCTTGAACGAGTCGGTGCTCATGGCCTCCCACTCCTTACCATCCGCTCCCATCATCCCAACCTCTATTTCCCAACCTAGCATCTAGGACACTCCTTTCTCTTCCTTTCTTTCTCCTTTCTCTCCCCCTTGACCCGCGCTTACTTAAAAGGTGAAGACCCTTCAGAGTGACCCTCCTCTGTGCTCCTGGGTCCATGCACTGTGACATCATTGGGCACACTCTCCCCTCTCCCCTCTGCCCTGACTGGCTCACCTGCCACTTGTTCCCTGGCGCCCAGCTGCTCCTGTGACCTTGCTCAGCCACCCACCTTTCTCCAGTTCGGTTCCCGCTCATTCCATCTCTTGGCCTCCGAGCATACAGCATGCGTCCATCCTCCCCAGTCTCAAAAACCCTAAGACTTCTCGGAATCTTTCCATCCCCTTAGGAATTTCCTGTGTTTATTGCCCTTCACAACCAGCTTCTTCAAAAGGAGAGTCCACCTCCTGGCCTCCTCTTTCCTCTCCACCAGAGCTCATGCGCACAGGCGGATTTGGGCCTGAGTTCACTCTGCCGCAGCCGCTCCCCGAATCAGCACCATAGTGTCTTTCCCCCCTCCTCATCCTCAGGGGTCTTCCTCCAGGATCTGGTCAAGTCCTTAGGGAGTCCACGGTCCTACTCTCCTACCGCGTTGTCTGCACTTTCTCGGGCTCCTGCAGCGCCGCTCCTCCCACGGAGACATGGACTTTCCTCTGCATTGTCCTCTGTCTCTTCACACTACCCCCATTATTTGTAATAACGAGCAAGTGGACCGAGAGTGCTGAGAGACTTTAAGGAGGGGGGATCCTTTGTGTTGGCTTGGTAGCATTGTTGGGTTTCTCGTTTGATGTTGTCTTATTTATCTTGTTTTTGTAGTGGCATAAGGGCTATTCCTCAGGGCAAAACAGAAAGGGTTGGAAGGAGACCCACAAACCACATGTGGTTTTGCCATTTTTCCAGATGTGGCCCATCTTGTAGCCCATCTTCTTGACCTCTGTAGTGTTCTGGCAACGCTTCCCTACCTATCAAGGATGACACTGATGTCCTTTTACTACCTACTGTAGCTTGTGTATTCGCTACCAGTATACTTAGGCTGTCTGAAATCAGGACTTATTTTACATCCTCTGGGTCACTTACCAGAGATTCTTGCGTACAGTGGTACTTAATAAGAGCTTCCACAGCAACGTCAGCTAATGGGAGCAACCTGATTTTTAGATGTAAACAGGCCCAGGTTCTGATCCTGATCCTCACCTTGATCCCTGTAAGTTGTGTGACCTTGGGCACATTGCTTACCTTCCTAATTACAGTAATTGTGAGGATGAAATTCGATAATAGAAGCTCAGGAGGTGTGGGTCCCCTCCCTTTCCTGAGATGGGAAAGAGCTGGGAGAAGTAGAGGGGGGACACTTGGATACTCAGTGAGACCAAAACCACATGGTTTTGCAGGCTTTCGCATAGATTCACCAAAATGATCTAGTTTCAACCCTGGGACTGACCAAAATTAGGAGGCAACAGAATGACCTACAGCAGCATCTAAGAACATGTTGATTTCACTTGACATGTCTCCACCCGAAAGTGATTGGTCAGTCACTGAAACTTGACTACACTTGCTACGGCCCCTTTGACCTTGCTTTCCTACTGCTTTTTATAGACTTTGTTTTTCCACCTTCTTCTGTCACTTGGCCCCCTCGACCTACTGGAATTCTAGTACTGCACCCCAGCTGCCCCCTTCCTGACTCCATCCCTGGGAGTTTAGCTGCCAGGGTAGAACATTCTGAGGCCTTATCACAGTTCTGGCAGCGCTTCAGATGACATCACCCACAGTGGGCAGATGTGCACTCCACCTGCAGAAACCTTAGAAAGTATGGAGCAGCTCAGTCAGCAAGCCAGGAGCAGATCCATCTGGATAATCCAGATCCAGGCTGTCAGGTTTTCTTCCCCTTCTCCCCCCACACCCTTTTTTTTAGACTTTTCTCAACCAGTATTTTAAATCTACTTCATTCTTTTTAACTACCACATAGTATTTCATAGAATTCAAGTGCCCTAGTTTGTTTCAACTTTCTGTTATGGCTGCAGCTTTTGCTTTGAGTTGCTTTTGTTTTTCCTCAGAAAAACAGAACTCCAGGGAACGCCCTTGAACATGGCCCTTGGGAGCATTTTTCTCTAGGATAGATGCCCAAGGGCTAGAAGATTTGTGTATTTATATGGATTTGAAATTGTATTAGATCTGACCATGTTCTTCAGCTCAAAGATGATACCACAGGAAAATTTTCTTTTCGGATGTCATTTTATATCTCACATAAGAAGGCCTTCCTAATGCTAAAGTCATAAACAGGTGTCCTAGATTTTCTTCTTAGTTTGTAGTTCTGCTTTTTTTCAACTTGGCTCCTTAAGCTAGCCGTAAAAGCTACCCTCATCACCCCATCCTACCCCCTCTCTGTAAAAACTTTTTCCATTGTATTAACACCACATGAATAATCTGCCCTTTCCCTGCTAACTTAAAAAACCACCTTTGTCACAAACTAATTCCCATAAATAATGCATAGATTTGCTCTTGGTCTTATTGTTCTATTTCACTGATCCATATATCTACTTCTATACTGCTGCTATTGTGGGGTTTTTCAGTGTATGTGTTACTTTAAAAAAAAATCGTGGTATAGTAAATGACAAAATTTTCCATTTTAATCATTAGTATTGTGCAACCATCACCACTGTTTCCAAAGTTTTTCATCAGCCAAACAGAAACTCTGCACTCATTAAGCAACAGTTCCCTAGCCCCTTTAACCCTGTCCCATGATTACTAATCTATTTACTAATAGATTTACTAATCTATTTACTAATAGATTACTAATCTATTTTCTGTTTCTGTGAATTTGTGTATTCTGGATGTCTCATGTAAGTGGAATCATACAGTGTTTGTCCTTGTATGTCTAATGTTACTTAGTCTAATGTTGCAAGTTTATCCATGTCGTGGCATTTGTCAGAACCTCATGCCTTTTTACACTGAGCATCCTCTGCATTTTGCTCATTCATCTCTTCATGGACAGTTGAGTTGTTTTCACCTTTTTCGCTGTTGTGAATAATGCCACTATGAACCGTATCATGCCAATGCCTGCTTCAGTCTTTATTTTCATTTCTCTTGGATATAGACCTACAGCTACAAGGTTGTCTGATAATTCGGCATTTAACTTTTTGAGGAACCACCAAACCCTTTTTCACATGGGCGCAGAGGAGATGTATTATCTCCTCCATCGTGAGTAGGACGTGCTGTGCCTCAAACCAGTTCCTACTTCAGTTTTGCATTCACCGCCCCACAGCCCTGACTGTATAAAACGGCAAGAAGAATATGGCGCTGTGGAAAGAGCCTGCAGTCCCAATATTTGGTAAATGAGTCCAATGAGAGCCATGGCTTCTGTTTCCCAGACAAGTCCTTTCAGGTTCTGTGTCTCATCTAGTTCATCTGTAAAAGGTGGTCATGCTCCTGCTTCACAGGTGTGGAGACATGCTGTCTAGATGGTTTGCTAAAGCCAAAGGCACCTACTAGCACAGACATCAGAGTCCCATGGGTGTCCCAGCACGCAAACAGGGCCACACACATTTATTCATGCATCAGCCACTATTGATTGCGGGCCTGCTCCATGCTAGGCACCACGCTGGAGGGGGCTCGGCCATGATCGAGGGGAAGAGGGCCCTGTCTTCATCAGGTACTCCTTGATCTGAGAACACGTCCCAGAGTCCTAACTCACCTCCCATTCTTTTGACATCAACACTAGGCTTTGCAAAAACACAGCAAGAAATTCTGATGTGTGTTTTAGGAAAGTGACTCTAGCTTTAAATGGATTTTAAAATGAACAAATAGACCCAGGTACTTAGTAAGTAAATGGCTTGAAATTCCATGGGGGGAACTTTTGAGGGGAGCTTCTGTGTAAAGGGAAGAGGGAAAAAAGATCCCAGACACTGCCACTACTCGCCACCCCCTGCCCACCACCACAGCCACTTCCACCCCCAGGAAAACTAAGAGCTCCCTGGCCTGCACACTCATTTGCAGGAGCCCAGGGGAGGGGGCTGTCATCAGCTCTCTGCAGCGTCAGTGCTAACCCAGGTAGCCCAGAAGTCATGGCTGCTTTTAACGTGCCACAGACTAGATTCATCCCCCTCATTCAGTCCTCTTCATGGGCTTCATTGTCTCCGGAAAACAGGTTCAGGAGGGTCAGGACCTGGGTCTAGGCCAGGCACCTACTAGCACAGGCATGGTATAGCTAGAATCCCTGCTCTTACCAGGACACT